GGGGGGGGGGGGTCTTCGACCTGAAAAATCAGGGGTTAGGATTTGCACCCGGTCGAAAGAAACCTTGCTATCGCAAGAGTAACTCCAGCTAGCTTCGCTAGCTTTCGTGATAATCCATCTTTAATTTTACCTGCAGTATTACATGCACACACCAGCCCCTTCGCGCTTTGATCGTCCACGGCGACACTTGTTTCCCCATCGTCCGAGACTCGTTCTTTCCCTCTCCTGGTAGAGCTGGATCTCTTGAGGCACTTGGAAACATCGAATCAGCTCCTTCTTCCCCCAACGCTGGTAGCTGCCACGGCAACACTTGTTGAAGCCGGTGATGTAGGAGGGACCCTGGTAGTCCGTGCGCAAGACCGTCATGTAGCCTCCAAAGGGTGCCAACGAGGAGCTGTTAGAAGCTCTTTTTGGAGGGTGGCTATGAGATTGGTCTTGCCTGGAAGCGACACGGATTTAGTGGTGATCTGCAACCGCCCCCAAATATAATACAAATGAGACGATGACTCCTCTGGCCAACTTCAGAACACCGAGCTGTCTTCACATGCAGCTTGATCATTGGGGACTAATTGAAAAAGCAACTCCCTCCCTCGTACTGCATGGGGCATCTTGCAAAGAGCGAAACCGACATGTAGATGGAAGATTTACATACTGCAATCTCCACACATGCTTATCACTTCGCCTCCCCATCTGTCTCTATAGGAGTTAACCTAGTAGCGATGGCCTCCATCCTAGCGATGGCCTCCATCACTGCCTCCATCCTAATAGCGATGGCTTATACAACCTGTTGGGACACAGTAGTGGTCACAGTAGTGGTCTCTGCTAGTCTGTGTCAGCGCCGACAACTCTTCGCAGCCGGACCTTCAGTCTTGTACTCGATGCCCTCTCCTCGAGAAAGGGTGGCTACTTTCCTTCTTGAAGGGAAGCTCCAAAATATTCCAAAGTCCAAGGCATGAATCTTCACGGCACATGCATTCCCCAAAGAAGGCTAACCAAATCAAAGTCTCCAAAGTTGCGCTTTTACAAATCCCTGATCAAGATACAGCCGGATCGTGAAGCAATCTATCCTCATGATGCAGCATGATGACTCAATATATGCAATTGGCAAGTCACTTCCGAACCGCCTGGTCAAGCAATCCCAGGAATTTTGGGTTAATCCACTCACTCCAGCGGTATGTTGTGGGGGTGGTGAAGGCACGGTTCTTCCATCAACCACTTGCTTTTGAAAGCTTGGACCCGCACTCTGCAGGCACTCCGCGCACACCCCGGCACCGGAGCTCTGTTCGTCCTCCTTGGTCGTGGGTGTAGAGGTAAGCCTTGACTTCATGCTTTCCCTCCCCATCGCAGGCCAGACAGCTGGACTGCTTGCCCTTGGTCAAGTAGATCAGGCCCACGAACGGAGCACAAACCTCAGCTGCCAAGTAGCCCCCCAGCGAGCCCCCCGGCCAACGAGCGGATCCAGGGACGTTGAACGGTGCGAACGAAACACAAATACAAAGCATGTTGAAATCGAGAACATCCTTGTGACACTTGGCTCGGTGGCCACGAATCCAAGCTGGTGCTCTCTCTCTCTCGATTCTCGTTGTAACTGTCCATCGAGACAAGCCGTCTGGAAGCTGGACTGACACGAACAATCCTGTTCCCGTCCTTCCCTTCACACGGGCAGTTGTGGGTCAAGGCTTCGACCAAAAAACACCAAAAAATCACTGTGGTGGGTTGCTCATGTCACAGAGGGCAAGTGGTTGGCTTATGGTCTACTCGTGTCCATCGCCCATCTCTAGTGTGGCTTCCGGCTGCGGAAGGTCCATCGCTTCAGGCAGCCTCCTCCCCTAGTGGCTTCCTGTCACGAGTAGTATATAAGAATGCTCCTTTGTTCCTAGTAGCTTCTTGCTCCGTTCGTAGCGATGCCAGGAGACCCTAGTAATTAGCGTCCGATCGCTCCTCCCCCGAGCTTGGGGCCTAGGAGCGACGTCGGCCAGAACGCCTAAGAACGCCATGAAGATGAGGCCAATGCCACAGGGGAGCAAGGGGTAGCGCCGGCCACAGTACCTCG